AGGCACATACGAAAGTTCTATTACTCCCTCATCAATCTTCTCCTTAATAAAGTGCCTATCAATTTCCACATGCTTGGTACGATCATGGTGAACAGGATTCTGAGCTATACACAAGACAGCTTGATTGTCACAATAGACCTTTAGAGGAGTCTTGTGTTCGGCTTGCAATTCTTCCAGAACTCTTCTAATCCAAATTGTCTCGCAAATTCCATGTGATAGTGCTATGAACTCGGCTTCTGCACTACTGCGAGCAACAACACTCTGTTTCTTACTTCTCCAAGTAACAAGATTTCCCCAGACCATAGTATAATAGCTAGAAGTTGATCACCTATCTTCGACTGAACCCGCCCAATCAGCATCTGTAAAAGCTTCAATCTGCCTTTCATTAGTTTTTCCAAAGAACAGACCCTTCCCTTGTGTCATTTTGAGGTATCTAAGAATCCGATACACAGCAGCTAGGTGTTCTTCATAAGGAGAATGCATATACTGACTCACAACACTTATTGCAAATGCTATGTCAGGCCTGGTGTGGGATAGATAGATTAGTCTCCCTACTAACCTGTGATATCTCCCCCTATCTACTGGAGCTCCTAACTCCTTCACTTTTCCATTCACTTCCACGGGGTTCTCATATGGTCTACTACCAATCATACCAATTTCCTTCAAGAGATCAATCGTATACTTTCTTTGGGAAATCGAAATGCCTTTTCTTGTACGAGCAACTTCCATTCCTAAAAAGTATCTCAGTTGCCCCAAATCTTTGACTTCAAATTCTCTAGCCAACACTTTCTTCAAGTCTGACAATTCTTCAAGGTTATCCCAAGTTAAGATAATATCATCCACATATACTATCAAAATCGAGACCTTACCATCTGAGTGTTTGTAGAACAATGCGTGATCAGCCGGTCCCTGAGTGAAGCCAAAACTCCTGACTGTCTTAGTGAAACGATCGAACCATGCTCGAGGAGATTGCTTAAGTCCATAGAGTGACTTCAACAATTTGCACACCTTATTGTCTCCAAGTTCCCCTTCAAAACCAAGCGGTAAATCCATATACACATCTTCTTCAAGTGTTCCATTAAGAAATGCATTTTTTACATCCATCTGGTGTAGAGGCCGGCCTAGATTAGCTGCCAACGAGAGTAGTATCCTGATTGTGTTAAGTTTAGCAACTGGGGCAAAGGTCTCATTATAATCCACTCCAAAGGTTTGTGTAAAACCTTTAGCTACTAACCGAGCTTTATATCTTTCCACTGACCCATCTGAGTTGTATTTTACTATGAAGACCCATTTACAACCCACTGGGCATTTTCCTTTGGGTAGATCTACAATCGCCCACGTACCATTCTTTTCAAAGCTTCCATTTCTTCCAAAACTGCCTTCCTCCACTATGGCTTTTCAAGTGCCTCATGTATACTTCCAGGAACCACCTCAGCAGAAATCTTCTCGGTTACAGCTCGGAAAGCAGGTGACAAATGTTTGAAGGACATAAAGTTATACAACGGATGTTGGGTGCAGTTCCAAGTGCCTTTTCGAAGTGCAATAGGAACATCAAGATCACTAGCTGGCAGTTCTTCCTCTACTGTCTGAACCTCCTTCTCGTTGGATTCTTCAACAACAATACATGCTTCATTCAGTTGTGTGTTTACCTCCGGTTCAAGCTCTTGACAGTGCTCCGGAGTTGTACTAGGCTTGTGTTGCTTTCGAGATTGCCCAGCTCACCTAGAATAAACACGAAGTTCTCGTGATTCTTTTTGTGTGCTGCTTTGCACATGTGATTCTCCCCATGTTTCAGATCATTAGACAACATAATAGGTAACACTGGACTCTTAGAAGGTAAACTAGGGGGCTCTGACTCTGTTTCGGATTGAATGGAGAAATCCCAGAGCTGCCCTGCATGTCTCACATTCTCCCCCTAAAGGGTAGGTTTGAAGTAAGGTTGATTTTCGAAGAATGAGACATCCATGGATACGTATACCTTTTTTGTGACAGGACAGTAGCATTTAAAGCCTTTCTGACTTGGAGAGTAGCCTAAGAAAATACACTTAATGGCCCTAGGATCAAGTTTGTTGTGTTGAGGTGAATTCGAGTGTACAAATGCAGTACATCCGAATGTTTTGAGTGGAAGATCATGAAGTAGACGAATTTGGGGATAAGACTTACGAAGGATAGACAATGGTGTTTGGTACTGAAGTACTCGAGACGGAAGACGGTTAATCAGATAGCAGGATGTAAGAACTGCTTTCCCCCAAAAAAACGTAGGAACATTGTTAGCAAACAAGAGTGCACGGGCCACTTCGAGTAAGTGCCTGTTTTTACGTTCAGCGACACCATTTTGTTGGGGGGTATCGACACAAGAGCTTTGATGGAATATTCCATTCTCTGCTAGATATGAACCCAAAGTGTTATTAAAATACTCTCGTCCATTATCCGTACGAAGAATTTGAATTTTGTCTGAAACTGTGTTTCCACCATTTTATGGAAGTTTTGAAAAATATTGGCAACATTTGATTTTTCTTTTAAGAGAAATACCCAACTGACTCGAGTATGATCATCAATAAAAGTTATGAACCAACATGCACCCGATATGTTATTTATTCTTGAGGGACCCCACATATCACTATGAATAAGTGAGAAAGGTTTGGAAATTTTATAAGGTTGCAAAGGATAGGGAACAAGAGTATGTTTAGCAAACTGACATGTTTCACAGGCAAATGAGTGAACATCTTTATTGACAAATAATGAGGGAAACAACTTTGTCAAATATAAAAAACTAGGATGGCCTAACCTATTATGCCATAACATAATTTCACTGGAAGTAAAAACAGAATCACAACTCAAAGCCTGAACTTGTTTATTCTTTGCAAGCCAAGAACCTTCAAATAGATATAGCTCATCACACTCCTCAGCACTGCCAATCGTCTTCCTTGAAAGTAAATCCTGAAACTCACACAAAGAATGGGAGAACTTAGTGGTGCAGTTCATATCTTTTGTTAACTTTGTAACTGACAAAAGATTGCAGACAATGGTTGGTATATACAATACAGAGTGTAAAGTTATATAATCAGAAATTCTCACTGTCCCTTTTCCTGTTACTGGTGCCAAAGAGCCATCTACAATTTTAATTTTCAAATCATTATCACAGCATGATTCGAAACTTGAAAAAACACTCCCACTGTTTGTCATATGATTTGAGGCTCTTGAGTCAACAATCCAACAAACTTTGTTAGTAGTTTTTAGTTGTTAGGACAGAAAGAAAATTACCCTTCTGTGCAACTACTGCTGTCGGACCTGAGGATGATGAAGTTGAGGATGGAAGCTGGGACAGGATAAACTGAAGTTGTTCAGTTGTTCCCTGCCGAATGCCGAACCAGAACTGGGTTCTGGAATTTTTTCTCCTTCTCCAGATGAGGCTGTGAAGCCTCGGCTTTCTCTTGAATTCTGTTGGCGCCAGCGTTCACGTACTGAGTTCCAGTCTGGTGGTTTTCCATGGATTTCCTAGCATGTGTCTTTGGTGTGTCCATGACGCTGGCAGGGATCACACCAAGGTCTATCACTCCTCTTTTGATTTCGGTTCTCTCCACCAGGTCCGAACTTTTTCTTGACAACCAAAGCTGATTCTTGGTGCAGCAGTTCAGCAATGGGTGTAGGGTTGATCTTCTTTTTCCCAAGCATTACTCTCTACCGAGCTTCTTCACGTCTCACTTCAGCAAATGCTTCTTTAATTTCAAGAAATAGTTTGAAACCAAGCACGCGACCTCGGACTTCATCCAATTCTTTATTAAGACCGAGTAAGAAATCAAATACTTGTTCTTTGTCAAGCATCTTCTTGAATTTAAGCACTATCCGTAGAGCAGCTCCAATTGAAATCCTGATATAGATCTAATTCCTACCATAAGACTTGTAATTCGTTATAATACTCTGTTACACTTAGATTACCTTGCCTCTTTTCTCTTAGGGCAGATTTCAATTCAAAAATCTGGGCTGAATTCCCTAAGTCGGAGTACATCTCTTCTACCATCTCCCAAATCGCGTTTGTTGTTTTGTAGTAGAGGTAAACACGGCTGATTGCTAGTTCCATCGAGTTCAACAGCAATGCCTTCACCATGGAATCTTCAGATTTCCACTTTTTGTAGGCCGGAGTTCCAACCTCAGGTGGTACGGCTTCTCATGTCAAGTAGTCCAACCGTCCTTTTCCATCAATCACAAGGACAATCGACTAAGACCACTCTACATGATTCGCACCATTCAACTTATACTGTGTAATCTGCAGTTAATGGTTGTCGTTGATGTTGTGGATGATTTGTTGGGGTGTGGCTGTAGTTGACATTGAGGTTTGCTCGCTTGTGGCGTCGGAGGCAGCTTCCCAAGAGGCCCCAGTTATGGCCCCAGTCATGGCGGTTTTCGCCATTAGAAAGAGTAAGGGAAAAACTCAGTCCCGCTCTGATACCATAAAGATTTTCAGAGGAAATGATTTCTTATTTCCTTGATTTGGTTTACAGTGAAGACTCTCTTTAAATAGAGAGAACAAAATAATACAAATATGGTAAATTACCAAAAATACTACAAAGAAATTAGGAAATAAACATAAAGTCAGAATACTAAATTGAGACAAAATCCATGGGAATCACTCGGATATCCCCATGGAATCACACAGATTTCCTACAATAGGAAATCAAAAATGGGAAACTGTTGACTATTGCTTCTATCCTACATCAAAAACCTACAAGCATCACATAGAATACAACGACTACCACATCCCAAAAAAAAAAAAAAAAAAAAAAAATCCAGTAAAATACACAATAACACACAACACTTACTACATATAATAATCCAGCCACTTGTCAGTGTGCAGATTATATTATGTAATAACACTAGCTCAAAACTAAAAGGTATGCAACTCTAAAGAAATTCCATATACGGAATCAGCAAATATCCAAACATTAATAGTTACCATAACCACATATGAGATAAAGTATGGAGAACTTTATCAAGGATACATTCAATGCTTTGCTGTGAATTGTTAAGCTTTGATAACTTCTCAGCTAATGACTGTCCATCAAATGCCTCGTTGCTCATACTGCTATAACCTTTTTACATTCCCTGCATCAATTCAGATACACGAGAAAGAGTTATTCCAATTCCATTAAAATATTAAAAGAATTGATTATATACATATATGCTTCATTTTTATTTTTTTATTTTAATAAGAAACAAACCTTTATTGATATGAAAGTCAATATAAGAGAAGGAGAATGATATATCCTCCAAAAAATACAAAAAAATACATGAAAATGAAGAATGAACAAAACTCCAACTTAGACAATCTAAAACCTGAAGTATATGCTTCATTTTTATTGAATAAAATTTAATGGAATGAAACTCAAAACACAGAGGAAAGGACACCAAACAAAAAATGCAAATCATACAAAGAAGCTGACATTACAACAGATTCTAACAGACGTTGCCAATCGTATCAAGAAGTTAATAAGAATGCTAAGTCAGTATAAGTCGCAAGTTCCTCTTAACAATTTACTGAGGCACAATGTGGCCTACCTTTTTTTTTTTTTTTCTGTGTTGCTATTGTTTGGTGGAGGCTTTCTCCCCCTCTCTCCTTTACATGTTACTTATTTCTATTCCTCTTACTTTCTTTGTATAAAGGAAGAGAAAAAGACATGTATCAAGGAAAAAAGAAAAGAAAAGGGATTCACACAAAATAAATACACCTACGTTTTCTTCATTGTATTCTTTTTTATCATGCAAAAAATTTACTTCAAAGATTGCATGTTCAAGCCGTTATACGTTCTTTCTTTTTTGTATCAAACGAGATACTCAATTTAAACAAATGGAATGAATATTACAAGACTAGAGGAAAAGATTTCCTCACAAAAAGTACCTAGAATAAAAAAAATAATGTCACACGACTCGCCCAATTAGAGACTCAGTATTTAAGGCCTCGATCCGAAAATATGCACACATACATACATTTATACATATATACCATAATCCAAAAAATAATCTTCAAATTCAATCCAAATAATTCAACCTAATACCAGCACAGCGACACTCCATGATCCAAATATGCTCAAGTAATACTCAAGCTTCGTTGTCATCTAATTGGCATTTGCCTCAAATGGTCTACTTCTCATCTTGGGAAGGCACCTTCTACAAACTCTAAAACTCGAGTTATGAGTTCCTACTCTAATTGAAAGCTGAACCCTTTTCCTTTTTTTTTCTTTTTTTTTCCCCTTTTTTTTTATTGTTACCTTTCTTTTGATAAGAAGAAAAAACCTATACTAATGTTAGAAAGCAACAAAGTTCAAGCTTAATTATTCTACTCGGAAGAAATTGATCACATTTTCCTACTTCAAAGCTGTAAAGTGCGAAAGTGGTCAATTACAAGATTTTCCAAAAAAAAAATAAAAAAAAAATCTTTCCACGCACATTTGAAAACACAAGGACAACTAAAACAAAAAAAGATCAAACATTGCCAGAAAAAATGAACTATTTTCCGTCAAGGCAAGCAAGAAATGTCCGATAAAACAATTTATTTCGAAGTTCTCATTGCTTAGATCGGAAACAAGAGAAGTGGCCCAAATACTTGGCTTGATGATAACAGTGTTCTTTGGGAATAGCTTAAATAGAAAAAGCGAGAAACTAGAAATTGGGAAGCTTTTCACTTTCTCGGCGACCAAACAGAGGCTTAACGAACAAGACGGGTCTAAAATAGCGAGTGTAATCAAATTTGATAAACGACGAAGAAATCAGAATTAGAGAAGCTCGTATGTTTACCTTGCAGAAAGGAATGTCAAAAGACCCAAAGTTCTGATAGAGAAAACCCTAGAAGAAGAAGAAGAAGAAGAAGAAGAAGAAGAAGAGCTCTACCTCGCAGCACGGCAGAGAGATGCGGAGCCTGTCGTGGACACAGAGACCGGAAGACCTTTTTCTTTTTTCTTTTTTTTTTTTTTCCCCTTTCAAATTTTGTTTTGACAAGAAAAATGAATTAATGTTAGGGAAATGAAGGGTCGGGATGAAGTATGGCATGATTGGCACCGTTGGATCTGTTGTGGCCGGAATTATTAAATTTGGTGCATAATTATCCGCTAGGGTATTTATTGGTACAAGGTGGCAGCTCTATCCGTGCTGATATTTTCACAATTCAAACTTTTTAAGTCTTTCGTAAAAATTTAAATTTAATTTTTATATTGTAATATTTTCTCTCATATAAATTTATTTTAAAATTTAAATTCTTAAATTGAGTTTATGAAAAAAATACACACAAATAATTTATGAGTTATTAACAAACTCTTATTTATGAAATTATATTTTTTGATATATTTAGTATGAATTTTGAGTTTAACAAATCTTATTTCTTGTATATTATAAATATGATGAAATAAGTAACCATAAATGTTAATATATGAGATAAAATATATTTCTTTTTTTATAAAGAAGTAGATAAATAATTATTTTGAGTGTTGATTAGGTTTGAAATAGCAAGAGCCCTCAATTCGTGATTAAGTTTATAAATTTATTATTTATTAAAGAATAAATAGTGCTCAAGAATAAAGATGTAATCAAAGAAATTAACGAGTTATACTAATTCTAATTATGAATTATCTATGAAAAAATAATCTATGTGTAGTAACTACATCAAACGAACGCTTCATGTTCTTAGAAATAATTAAACATCTCTAATTTTAAGAGTGTAATTCTAGGTTTATAGTGGAGTAATTTTTTAAATTAATACAAATAATTATTATATTAAAGTGTTTAATTAATTATTAAATTTATTGGAGTCTGAAATTATTGGTTTATATATAGCTTCTCCCATCATCTTGTATTAATTGTTAGACGAGATGCATTTATGGGAATTAATGTCAGCCAATATAATTGATTATAAGATTAATTTGATTCTTAAATAATGAAATCATTTAAAAATTAATTTTTAAAACACACATATAGTGGAATCACATATATTGCATGCCAAAGCATAGGGAAGAATCCATTTGTGATTCAGTTATTTACTTTGCAAATTATTTAGTTACTTGTTGGACAAGCTATCAAATTTAAATTTAAATATGTTTACAGTTTGAATTTAATGGGTATTTTAGTTTTGGTGTCTTCTTTTGTACTTTTTTCCTTCTTTAATATATTCTCTCGTTTCTTATAAAAAAAAAATTATATGGGTTTTTAATTTGAGTCAAAATTAAATAATAGGATAAAGTTGAAATTTATCTCATCCTATATATATATATATATATATATTTTTTTTTTTTTTGTGAATAATCATAAAGTCCGCATGTGATTACTTGGTATGAATGTGATTTTACTATCAACGATCTCCGATAGTTTTTATGTTAGTGGCCACATTATTTATCTTCTTTAGATGTATCCCTCTCTAGGTCTGCCAAAAATACGCTATAACAGTAGAGCCTGCATTGGTTACAGTAGACAAAATAGCGTCTCAACTTGTGTCAAATCACAATATATGAATCTGTTTAATTCGTGTGTTTAAGTTAGGCCTCGTTCATTTCGCTGATTCGAGTTTTGCTACAGTAAAAAGCTCTCACAAACAATCACATCTAACTTTTTTGCTACAGTAAAAAGCTCTCACATAAAATCAAATCTCAACTCAAATTAAAAACTCGAATCAACGAACTAAACAGACCAATGATCTGAACACTTCCTGGCTATATATTTCTTCTTTCGATAATTCATTTCCTTACAATGGTTGCAGCTTGGCAGAGATTTACACTCGTCAACAAACAATCAAAGGGAAATGTTCTCGAGTATGCTTCCCGTTTTGCATGTTCGCTGTGGATGTTGAACACTGCTAATATGCTTTTTCTTCTTTGTTTCAACCTCATTATTGCTATCACTTTGTTAAACCCTTTGTAGTCCCAATTCTGCTTGCTTAAGAAGTAGATACAGTCCTTCAACCTCGTTTCTCTTAATTTATTTCACAGAGCAATACAACCTTATTCATCAAATCTTTTGTATAATATAATTATCACCAAATCTGTTTCTTTTTTTTCAAACAAAAAAACTTCTACTTTTAAACAAGCGAGAAAAACAAACTATACTTAAAATACACATACAATTCATAAGAAGAACAAGCACGTGCTCCACACATGCGGAGCACGTGCTCCTCCGCACGTCTCCCAACTAGTATATATAGGTGTGTATATATTATCAATGTCTTTCACATGTTTGCTGATTATTGTTTTTGCAGCTGTTGAGCTCAACGTTTAGAAGTTTTTTCCAAACATACATATGCATCTATAATCAAATCAAATGTAAACATACTTCCTCATTATTTTTTTTGAGAAATAAAAAATGAAAATGAAAACGAAACAATATTTATTTACTAAATGTTTAAAAAATAAAAATAGTGAGAATGATTTTTTAGAATGAATTAGAAAACAGTTAAAAGTTATTCTCACTTTTCTGTTTTCATTTTTTAGTACTTATCAATAATATTATAATATATTAATTAATAAACAATATTTTATTTTTTTATTATACTCAAAATAATCTGTTAAAAAATTAACCAAACGCAATTTCAGAATCGGTCCCTGAATGATTCTCAAAATCAATCTCATTTTTACTTTTTATTAAAAATAAAATCATTTTAAACCCAATTCCAAATGCACCCACAGTTTTGTTTTATTTTTCTGAATTTAATTCACCAATATTCTAATCATCTAATGTAAAATACTTTGATAACTCAACAAATACTTGGACAACTGGACTTTTTCATGTTCAGTAACCTCTTATCATGTTACTTGTTGGTTTACGCCGTGGATTCGAATTCTGATTGAGATTCATGTTCTCAAGGCGTAGTTCTCAGAAAAGAGAATAACCCATAATCGGCCTGATCTAGTCACCCATATATATTCACACCAGAAATAACCCACCAGAAATTTTTTCGTTTACGTCTTTTTTTCTTTCACTTTCTTCACTCACTTCCCTCTCTCTGATCCTTGAGTTTTTTTCTTTTCTTTTTCTTTTCAAGAAGATGAAGAAGACAGAGGAATGGTCGTGTCCTGACAAGTTTGAAAGCGAGGCCGATTACAGCATTAATTTCACTGGGAATACGAGGTCACCCCGATTCTTCAACCATATCATATACTACCAGTTTGAAGATGAAGTTCTTGATAATCAACAACTTTCCTTGAAAGAAGATTATCTTCGCAACAATATTCATGACTTCTCTAACCAGAATGTTGAGTACTTCTCCGAATCAGATGATCATGAGCAGCCATTGGCCGGGACGCGGAAATGGGTGAGACAGGTGGTTCAAGAAACGGGTGGACATGGCGAGAGGCTTCTTCTATGGAAGAGACTTTCCGAGAGCGACCTCGAGAACCGGATTTCGATGCCGGTCATCTACTTGCTCGACGAATCGGATGAGTTCTTGAAGGAGGAGGATATCAATGCTCTTTTGAGATGGAAGCATCATCATGACGATTTGAAGGGCTTTCAAGATGTCGACGTAACGTTCTTTGAGCCGTACGTGTTTGAACAAGTCCATTCTGCCTATCAGAAAGTGTTGTTATGGCACAAGCTTTAGCCTCTATGAGTTTACTATCGTCAAGAAGAAATGGCGCGAGATCGCCGAGAGGAATGGCTTCAAGAAAGATGATATTCTGCAGATTTGGTTCTTCTGGAGCCGAAATTGAAATCCATGCTTTGCTCTCGCCAATCTCACAAGCGCAGAAGATAATCTACCAACAACGTCCGATGCGGCCAATACTACCGAAACTAGCTAAATATAATAGCTTTCTAATTTTCTAGGCTGCCAAACAGAAGTAATTTTCCATTTTAACGGTACTTCTTTAATACTACTTTCTTTTAATCTTATCTTTTCTTTGTTAATTCTAGACATTAATTCTTGATGATATTCCACTATAAATGATGCATTCTTGATGATATTTCCGTATAAATTTCTATATTAATTGATCACACTGTCACATTGTCTTTATAAGTTAAGTTCATCTTCTTTTTTTTGTCATTAAGCCAACACAGAAGTAAAATATGAACGGTGTATTGTTAGTGTATACATACTAGTAATTTTCTTTTCATTTTTTCTTTGCATTCGATATTCTTGATGATATACAGATCATATTTTTTGTTCATTGATCAGTGATCACATTGTCACAGCCACTACTAAGTACGTAGTTCTCAGTTTCTTTTTTTTTTTTTTTCATGAAGCGAAACTCAACAGTTTTTGCATGGTGCTTAGTCTATACTAATTACTTTAATTTCTTTAATTTTATTCTCTATCACTAAATGTTAATCTTTGCGATCATATTTGATCAGGTACTATATAATGTATTCGTTTTGAAAAAGACGCATTCCGTCCATAAATATTTAATTGAATAACTACTAGATCGTTATTATTGTGTACTCTTTTTTTTTTTTTTTTTTGAAAAAATGAGAAATGAAATAGAACTAACATGCCCAAAAAAAAAAAAAAAAAAAAAAAATTTTAAAAAAAAAAAAAAAATCCCAAAAAAAAAAAAAAAAAAAAAAAAAAAAAACTTCGTACAGCACTAGTATTGAATATCACAATAATATAGGACTCAATTTATATTCATGTGTACCGTGGGTGCCATTAAGTATTGTTCTAAAAAGTAGGTAACATCTCAATTTTTACCGCATTTTACAAGCGCATCAAAACGAAGATAGATGCGGTCAAAATCACTCGTAATCTACTACGTACTGAACAAAAATTTTACAATGTCTTTGTGGCTAAAATGGACAAATTAGACAGAGCGCAATTGTAAAAAATTTGAAAAATTCACCATAATTGTAATAATCTACTCTTAGGTAGTTCTCTCATTCTTAGGGATTTGATTGATATTCCCATTTATTGTACCAGCTCACAGATGTCTCTTTTATTTGTATATATAGCTAATCATAATCAATGGAATATACATCATTCTTCCGCAAACATTT